AGTGGGTTAAAGCCTCTGCCTCAGCTCAGGTCATGGTCTCAGGGTACTGGGATCGAGCCCTGCATCGGGCTCTCTGCTCAACGGGGAGCCTGCTTCCTCCTCTCTCTCTCTCTGCCTGCCTCTCTGCCTACTTGTGATCTTTGTCTGTCAAATAAATAAATAAATAAAAATCTTTTTTAAAAAATTAATGAATTGAACCCAAATTATACATAATGACAAAGTGGGAGTTTATTTCAAGAATGCCATGCTGATCTAATATTGTAAAATTACAATATAATCAGCCATTACAATCCAATAATGAAAAAAACCCATGTAATCATTTCAACAGATACAGAGCAAATCTCATATATACTACATTCATTCACATTTTTGTTCCCCATAGCTAATAGTGTCATTTCTCTCTGGCTACTTTGCTTTCAAGACTTTTTCTTTGTCCTTCCTTTTCACTACTTTGATTTTGATATGTCTAGGTATGGATTTCTTAGAATTTATCTTGCTCAACTTCTTAAATCTCTAGGTTTGTCTTTCAACCAAATTTTAGAAGTTTTAAGCCATTATTTCTTCAATTTTTTCAGCACCACAATCCTTTTCCTCCCCTACTGGACATGGGCGACATGTATGCTAGATCTTTCTTTATTGTCCAACAGGTCCTTAAGACTCAATTTCAATTGTTTTCAATCTTTTTCTTGGTTGTTCAGATTGGATCTCTATCTTCAAATTCACCAATTCTTTTCTTTCTTATCCCCAATTTGCCACTGAGCCAATCTAGTGAATCTTTTATGTCAGTTATTATATTTTCCAATTCTAAAATTTTCATTTGGTCCTTCTTTATATCTCCTATTTCTTTGCTGAGATTTTTTATTTTTCATCGGTTTCCAGAGTTTGTTATTGCTAAGTTATTTTCAAAATAATAGCTTTAAAACCCTTGTTTGATAATTCTATACTCTGTGTCCTCTTGGTGACGGCATCTCTTCTCATTAGATAGTCTTTTCTCGTTAGAGTTGAGATCTATTGGTTCTTGGTATAATGACTGATTTGGGACTGTATCCTGAACATTCTGAGTATTTAAGAAGCTGGTTCCTATTTAAATCTTTTATTCCAGCAAGAAGTCAACCTATTTAAATTCAGAACACATATCCTATTACATTAATGAGACACTGTGTGTCAGCTATACTTCAATTTAAAAAAAAAATAAACAAAATGAAATGAAAATAAAAATAAAAATTAGAATTAAAAAACAGAAGAAGAAGGAGGAGGAGGAGGAGGAGGAGGAGGAGGAGGAGGAGAAAGCAGAACACATGTCCTGGATCAGGTTTTGTGGATTATGGTTCAAATGTCAATTTAGTTTAAAAGATTCTGCAGTGCTATTCTGATCTTCCCCCCTAAGATGACAAAATTCCACACTACCGTCTCCACAGTGCTGGGTGGGGAGTAAGAGGGGCCCAACTCATTACTATAGGAAAAAGTGCAAGGATAAAGTTCTACCCACTGACCCAGCTGGGGAGGTATATTGCCTAGTTAAGGTAGGGGTGGGAGGGAGGAGTTAGAGCTCCATCTACAGCCTCCAGAGGGGAGGGATACTATTTCCTTCCTGACACTGCTGGCAAGGGGTAGAAGTAAGAGTTCTACCTTTAGGCTCCAAGGGAGACAGACAGCACTGACTACTGAGATGGGCAGGGATGATCACAGAAATCTGACATTTACCTAAAGACTCCAGGGGAAAGGAATGATAAGTCGTTACTGCAGAAGAAGACAAAAAAGTACGTTTCCTGGGGCGCCTGGGTGGCTCAGTTGGTTAAGCCGCTGCCTGTGGCTCAGGTTATGATCCCAGGTTCCTGGGATCGAGGCCCAAATTGGGCTCGCTGCTCAACAAAGAGCCTGCTTCTCCCTCTCCCTCTGTCTGCCGCTCTGCCTACTTGTGTTCTGTGTCAAATAACTAAATAAAGTCTTTAAAAAAGAAAAAAATAGGTATCCACCCCATTGGCTCCACTACTGCAAAGCCAACTGGTGCTGGGAAGGGGTATAGCTATATTCATGGTGTGTGTCTCCAGAATAAGCAGGATTGGTCAAAAGGTTTCTCTATAGCTGAACTGCCCTTTTCCTAGTTCTTTGGCTACAGAGAGCAGGCTTTTCTTGGAAATTTTCTTTCTGCCCATGCTCATTATAGTTTCCAGTTTGCAAGGCACCCAGGCCAGGATATACAGGAAGCAAGAAAAATCCAAGGGAACTCTGCCATGTAATTCCTCAAATTCCAAGATCCCTGGTCAGGACCATCTTTTCTCACTTTTGGGAGTCTTCTAGTAGGTGATTTAAATATTTTGTCCAGGGGCACCTGGATGGCTCGGTTGGTTAAGCATCTACCTTCGGCTCAAGTCATGATCTCAGGGTCCCGGGATTGAACCCTGTGCAGGCTTCCAGGTCACCAGGGAGTCTGCTTCTCCCTCTGCCCCATCTCCCACTCATGCTCTTTCCCTTTCTAATAAATAAAATCTTTTACAAATAAATAAATAAATATTTTGTCCAGGAATTTTTGCTGTGATTAGTAGAAGTAATAAAGTAAAATATGTTTACTCATCTTGTTCAGAATCAGAAGCTGCAATCTGATTTTAAATGCATCAAAAAATAAGATGCACTGAAGAGTGGAAGGCTGGAAAGATGGCTATTTATAAATCTTGATTCAAGTATATTAAAATGTTAATGGTAGAATCTATGTGGAAGTATATGGGTGTAATCTGTAGACTCTTTTCAACTTTGCTATATGTTCAAAAATTTTCATAATAAAATGTTAGGGGGAAGAATCTTTTGACCAAGTTTGAAATGCAGGTGATTAAAAAAAAATCCATAACGTGCAAAAGAAAGAAAAAGAATTCCTCTGCTGAGTGAAAGAGAGGTACTGGAGATTTTCTCTGATCAATAAATTACCAGATTAGCTGGAACGAGAGGCTGTTAGATGAGAACAGCTCTTTGTAAAAGCTCTAGCCAGCTGAATGCTATATTTTGTTTTTAATAGCTTATTTTGTCCACAGCCTGGTCCTTAGGCCTTGTCAGTTTTGCATCCCTAAGGGTAATTCCATCAGAGTTAACAAGCATAGTGCAGTTGAGCACCTAAAGTGGTTAGAGGATGGTTAAATACTGGGGAGGGACTAAATTCATTACTTGAAATGAAAATAAAAGAGAGGAGGCTATCTCTCAAAAATAAATCTTTATTTTTGAAAAAACCTAATAATAATAAATGTGGAGTTCCGATTTGGGGGGAATTTAGGACAGAGTTATGCCACTGATCCCTTGAGTTAACTCTGGTTGAATTTTTTGTTTAAGACACACAGTGACTACTTCCACACTATAAAAGTTCTCAGGAGAACACCTGTGTGGCTCAGTCAGTTAAGCATCTGCCTTTGGCTTGGGTCATATCCCAGGGTCCTGGGATCAAATACTACATCAGACCCCCTGCTCAGTGGGGAGTTTGCTTCTCCTTCTGTCCCCTCCCCTGACACGTGCTCTCTTTCCCATAAAGATAAATAAATAAAAAATCTTAAAAAAAAAAAAAAAGTAAAATCAAAGGTCTCAGGAATGCAAAGCTGTCTAGGGCACTGATTCTCGTCATTTTTCCCACATATACAAATGGACACTTGACATACTGCACATAGTAGGGAAAACAACATAGGCATTGGGATAGCCCAGACTTCAATCTGAATCCTCGCTCCGTTTTCTAACTAAATGACACTAGCTCAGGGTCTCTGCAGTTCTCTGCATCTCAACATCCCATCTGTAAAACAGAGATAATGAATACTGATATAAGGGTTAAATGAAATGATAAATATAAAGTGCTCTCTTGATTATCTAGAAACTTATTTAGGCACATACTTTCTTAATTCTGCAGAGGATAAAGTGAAAAGAACAAGACTTATTCAACTCTTTTCACCCACTGATGAAAATTAATCAAGAACCCTGGATGAGTGAAGCAGGTAACTGTCCAACGGTCTCTGACATTTTCTGTCAGGATGGCTTGGACAATACCTGTCTCGTGAATGATAATCTGGCTCTTCTGTTGGCTCACTTATTCTGTATTTATTCTGTACACCCAGGCTCTCCTGGGCCAAGGCAAGACTGCTAGCTAAACAGTAAGTACCGTGAGTCAGCAGCAGTCCTGGAGAGTCCGCAGGACTCCCCTATGTTTTCTTCTAGAAGGGCCTACCCTTCTGGCATAAGCTTGACCAGAATTTTCAACATAACACTATGAAACCTTATGAAAAAAAGCTTTTCCCCAGTGGCTGAAATACAGGTTCTATAATATTTTTTTTAAATGGCTATCTTAAATTTTATTTTAGAATTACTTTCTAAATGCCTGAAAATGTTGTTTGGTAAAATGCGTAAGACTTTTTTTTGTCTGTTAGGAAAGAACAATGAATACAGATATATTTGTAGTGATTCAACATTCACCTGGTGTCTTTCATTCACACCTTTTTTGATCGTTCCAGCGCCACATGCCTCCTTTAATCTAACAGTTATGCCCGCAATTTATGCAGCTGGCTCCACATATAAAAACCAGACTGAGGCACCTTTTCACTACTCACAGAATCGCTCCAAAGCCTTTCATTCTGGCCTGCTTTATGCGCCACTTCCTGACATTCTCATTCACCCTGTTCTCATCCCTATGATGACTTTATTTATAGGCTCATTTCACAACTTGGAATCTGTCAATTGCCTTCTTCTCTGGCTCTAATTTCTGGCTTCCTTCCTTAACTGTGATTAGTATTTGCCCTACTGACGATACTCCTTTAAGTCATGGTAGACAAATATTTTGCCAGACCCAGTTGCTGGGTGCAGGCCCTCGCAGCCAATACTTCCACAGTGGTTTACACACCAGTCTAACCACCTACACCCTAAGCTTTCAATTCATTCATGTTTAGGGACCACAAAAGAGAATTTCCAGAGCTAACAAACACAACAGTTTCCTACTGTTTCTCCTGCTACTAAAAATTGTAGGCATTCTCCTTTACCTCTGCCTTTGGCTCAGCTGATTCATTAGAGGTATCAAGTTGTTCCTTGGCTTGGGCCATCTGAGTCATCAACCTGTCCATGTGGGACTGGATGTCTGCCAGTATCTCAGTCACATGAGCAGTGGCCATTGCTTCTTGGATGTCCACCAGATGAAGGGCCTTCTGCTCCTCATCAGCAATCACTTTCTGAACTTTCTTAAATTCCTGCTGTATGAACACCTTCATCTGGTCCCGGGTTACCTGCAGAACACAAACAAGTAAAGATAATAAGTTGGACTTACAAAGAAATGGAAGATAGAACTACTACTGTAAGTGCTAGGCAGTCCTGGCCAAAATATAAACCAACCAGGTTCCTACGCAGTCCAGAAATTTTGGAATATCCTCTAAACAATGTTCCCATAATACTGTTGATGAATTTCTTGGTAATCCTTTTGCCTTTTTAGTCTTTAGGAAGTAATTCCTTATCTTTCCCTTTTTGCTCTTCCTTTTGTTCATTTTTTACACCAGCAATACCTAATTACTTTTTAACAATTTAATAGGTGAATGTAGATTATAAAAAATGAAATTCTTCTCTCTCCATCTGGATACCATTTTTCTCTTTGGAGGGTAATTACTATTAACATTTTGGTATGTATCCTTCCAGCCATTTTTCTTTCTAGTTATACACATACATGTACACAGACAGTTATGTTGGTTTTTATATAAATGGGTCATAGTGAACATTAGGTTCTGGGTCTTGCTTTTCTATTTAAAGTATGTTAGTACATACAGATCAACGTCACTCATTATATTATTTTTAACGTCTACATGAGGTGGATATATACAAATATGAATATTTATAAATATATAAATAAAAAGATATAGCATAAACATTAAATATTTTCCTTCTCAATGGAAATACAGGATATTTTCAGATTTTTGCTATTACAAACAACATTGTAATGAACATCCTTGGATACATCTCTTAATATTCGCATGAGTTTTTTTTAGAGACTTCTGGAGTCACTGAGTCCATTTATTTCATACTCTAAAAATACTGACTGATACAGCCAAACTGGCCTCCAAAACAGATGTACCAATTACATTCAAGAATGTGTGAAAACAGGCATTTCTTTTTACATTCACCAATATTAGATCATGTCAAGCCTTAAAATGTTTATTCCCTTTAAGTAAAAATATATTATTGATTTATTTTGTAGCAACCACTGAGCAGATCAAATAAAACATGACTATAGGCTCTATCTGGCTGGGGCATAAGGTAAACAAAGTGAGAAACTACCAAAATAAGAACTTCTAAACTCTGTATCCTACCAGTAACTACACTTACTGATGCTTTTTCCCAACTACACGCATTTTAGGAATATTTTCAAACAACTCTGTACGGTTAGTAACTACGGCAGGGTAAAGGGAAAGGGCGGCGCAGTGGACAAAAGGAGAAAGGCCATGCGAGAATTTTAGAGCTGAGAGAAAAAGCAGCTGTCATTAAGGTGAATCCTTTCTTTGACAGGTAAGGGAAGAGATGCAGTGGCAGGACACCTGTAGAAGATGCAGGGGCCACCAATCTTCCTGCTCCCAGGCTGGTGTTCCAGGCTAGAACAGTCTCCGGGAAGGAAAACCAAACTGGGAAGAGCTAAAACTGAGACTGAGGAAGAGAAAGTCTACAGAAGAGGGGATGATGGGCCATTTCTAATTAGCCTCTTAAAAACTGAAAGAGCCTTGATACTTTAAGCAGCTTTTGTAACACTGCCATAAGAACGTCCATACAAAATAAGGCCCATAGGACCTGTCTCTATTCACACATCAAGTGACTAAGTGACATAAGCCCTCAGGAATTCATTATACTCTCTACAGGTACTCTCCCTGGTGTGAAAGAAAAGGGGAGGGGGAGTGTTAAATGTTATTAATGTCTCTGCAAATCTGTATCAGATTAAGAACTGTGATTTGTGTTTATTTATGTAGTTCCTTTTTATTTTTAGTGTGTTAATTTCAAGGCTGTTATGCTTCATGATGACCTTTTATGAATGGATCTCGAACTTTGAAATAAATTAGGTATTATAAAGACCTGAGACCGTCTCTTAGAGACTAAACCTAGGAAATTTTAGCTAAGAGATGAACTTTTCTGAATGCCCAAGAAAATCTCTTTAACAGTTGCAAGTGACTGAAAATGGGGAACACAATAAAAACGGACTCGTAACCTATTTTACCAGCCCTCACACACACACGTGGTTCAGGTCAGAAGCTGACGTCAGTCAGGAAAGGTGTGGCCAGACTGCAGTAGGTGACTAAATCATGGGGTTTAAAAAAAAAAAAAAAAAATCAAATTCTCTACTTCTTGTTTTACACAGGGTTTTCAACCTTTATTTTGTACAGTTTATCTCTTACAGATCAGGCCACAAATAAGAACTGAAGCCAGAATAATCTACTCTCCAAAACCTATATCCTTTTCACCCCCATGCTCTACTAATCAACAAAAAGATATTCCCCAACCTAGTTCAAAATGGTAAGAACACATTTTTGGGTCATAGCTTCCATTCAAATTCCGAGGCCAAAGGACAGACTCCCTGGGGAACCTGGCATATAGTAGGTTCAGTACTCTGGAGAATGGACTCTTACCAATGGCAGGAGTGAAAGAGATTTCAAAACTCCCTTTCAGGTTCATTTCACCTCCCTGCCACCAAAACTCCATCCTGCTACAAACTTCACGGTTCTCCCAAGAGCAGCAGACCCCTTCCATCAGCCCCGGCTACCTGAGAGCCACTGACATCATTTCTGCGTAGGTTTCTTAGAATTTCTTCGGCCTCTATCCTACAGCTCCTCAAAGGTGAGAGTGACAGTCTCATATTCCTGACTGTACTACATACAGTGTTAGTAAAAAGAAAATTCTACATATGCAGACAAGAGAAGGCTGGGTGTATCACAGAACAATAAAACTGGCACTGTTAAGCTCTTTTAGAGCCACAGAGCTTCACTTACCCTAAACAAAATCTTAATGTGGAACCCTAAAACACAACAGAACCGAAAGTAGAAGTACTCTGGTTAAAAGAAAAATTTCTCCCTCCTCCTTGAAGTAATGCCTGGGCACTGGTAGTGGTCTCCAGGAAAATCTCCCTGCAATACCTGGGTCCCCTACACAAATGAAACCCTAACAGGAGCTGCCTCCCTTTGGTCAGCTGGCCCCTAAGTTGATGACACTTTGAAGTCTTAGGGTATGAGCCAGTTGATATATCTTTGTTATCATTGCATTAGGATGAAAATTTACATTACTACTTAAAGATAGCACTTTACTAAAATTACCTAAACACAACATTATAATTTGAAAAATTGAGTGGCTTATTTGTGAACAGTCATAACTAGCTAGTGAAGATCTGACTGTTCTCATTAGAGCTGAGTTCAACCTCCCATTTTATAGGCCACACACACACACACACACACACATACACGTGCAATAATAAAGTCAAGCTTAGAAGCCAGCTTTCCTTTCGTCTAATCCAGCATACTCTGTGCTACAATATACTGCCTGTCATGATCCCTTTCTGCCTGCTTCAGGTCCTTCAAACTTATTTCTTCTTAATTGAGACGTTTCCTTGGTCAAGAGGCAGCTCTGTTATTATCCCCACTGAGATGTTATTCCCTCCTAACTGTATCTTGGGATAAAGGATGCGCATCTGAAGAGTTAAGTTTCATCCCATGCTACTTTCTATATGCTCTTGTAGTTAATATTTCCAAGCTAGGATGGACCCAAGAGTCATACAGACTGGCACTTTACACATACATAATTAAACACATAAAACCTTGAATTAAGAGCTTGTACTTAAAAACAACACCATTCGGGGCGCCTGGGTGGCTCAGTGGGTTAAAGCCTCTGCCTTCGGCTCGGGTCGTGATCCCAGGGTCCTAGGATCGAGCCCCGCATCGGGCTCTCTGCTCGGCGGGGAGCCTGCTTCCTCCTCTCTCTCTGCCTGCCTGTCTGCCTACTTGTGATCTGTCTGTCAAATAAATAAATAAAATAAAATAAAATTAAAAAAAAAAAAAACACCATTCGATGTGCTTGACATGGGTTATAAGCCATTAACTCCTAGCTAGCTGGCTTACAGGAAACGAAGGTTTTATTTCGTTTTCTATTACAGGCAGATTATTAAAAACAACAACAAAAAAAGGCATACTAGCTAGAAAGCATCATACCTTAAGAAAGATTTGTTCCAGAAAAGTGTTGCTGATGTGAACCGAGAAAGATGGTACAGGATCGGGAGCAGGAAGCCACACAAAAGAAAAGCCTCTGAGTCTACATTGGTTGAAGAGTTCAGAAATACTTGTTCTACTAGCCAAATTCCCTGCAAGTTTAAAGGAGGCTATTCCAAAAATGATCTTAAAAAGTGTGAACTGTATGAAATAGTTTGTGAAGACTCTAAATACCTCCCCAAATGTCAAGAAGTACACTTTCACTCCCCCTTTCCTCTTCTGAATGGCCACTGTTCTAAAACAGAAAAATAAAAAAGCAGGAAATGCAATTTTTTCAGATGCGACAAGCTGTCTTCACTCCCACCAGCACAGTACCTTCCCAGCATGCCAGTGTCCATGGAAACTTTCAGGTTGGGAATCTCAAAGTTAAGCCTTCTGTACAGCCTCTCGTATGTATTCTGGCATTTTGCTCCAAGACAGCGCTTTCCAAATCTCTATCAGGCTCCAGTGAGGGCAGGTGAGGGAAGAGCTTCATCAACGGGGACAAAGTCCTTTTTCAGTATCTTTCGTGTATGAGGAGAATAGCCACTATTTGTGAATAAAACCAATGTTCATTCCTAAGGCTTGGAAAATTATCCAGCACCTAGAAATTGTTGTATTTTAACCTAAAATACAATAATAAAATAGTTCACGAACTATGAACTACATTCCATTACTAACATTGTTGAGTGTAGTCAAATATTTTCCTGACAACCTGGTTAGAAGCCTCTGTTGCTTGGCTTTTACAGTGGGGGTACTGAGAAAAGAAAAGGTTACTGAAGTGAGCATTTAATCTCTTCCTTAAACCAATTTTCTCATCTTCATCAGAAAATGCAGACAAAACCAGTCACGTGATCCTCTTTACCTCCTTTCATTACCCCACTGCATGTAAATACAGCATCATGAGGTCTCTACCTCTATATCTACCCAAAGAAGTAATAATAGTATTTACTGTTGCTGTTATTAATATTTCTGTTAAAAAAGACTGTAAGAAATACACCAGAATGTTGGACAGTGATTAC